CCTTTCTTGAGATGAGATATAAACCAGCTGTTTGGTGTAAATGAGAATTTGTGTGGGTATTTAAACAATTTAAATGTATAATTCTGAGCAGAACTCTACACTCACACTCCAAATAAAAGAATATGGTTATAGAATTTAATGGAGAAGTTGTGAAAGTAGAATTTTTACTCCAATATTAATTACCAGAATTTACCACTCAAATAACTTTGGAAAACTGTATTATCACGTAACAGTGGAATCAATGTACATATGTAAAAATGGTTTCTAGCAAGATATGTGCCAAAGTCTATACATATATCAGCAAGTTCTGTCTGAAAAGAAGAAGGGGAAAGATGATACACTGGTGAACAGTTTAGAGTACTGAAAGATGATGACCAAAACAAAATGGTCATTTCTACTTGGATTAAGTAAAAACTGCTACATGTGTATTTAAAAAAGTGTCCTGTGTTTTCCCACCCCAGTGCTGATTTGTAAAATAAAAAGCCCTAAAATCCTATTGGAGAGAAAAAATTATTTAGGTAGTATACTACTTTATCAGCGTAAATATTTTTTTTTCATTTTGCCTGCCTTCTGGTGGAGAGGGATGTGATATTCAAAATAATGAAAATGAATTGGGAACATTATCACGATTCCAAGGCTTTCTATTGAACTGATGTGCTTTAATAAATATTTGAAATTGTTTGACTATTTAAAATTAATCTGACTAGTGCTTCCTTGTATGTAATATGTGAAGCTATCCCCTGAAATTTAGGACTTTTGTTGTTGAATCTATTCTAAATGTTTATTATTACATGGTGCACAAATGACACTCCATATATTCCACAAATATTTCTCTTGTACTGTTATGAAAGCATCAATACAGTGATTAGTAATTATAGCTTTAGCTGAAGATGCAGAAGGAACAAGTTTATCATAAGGGACCATCATCAATATGAGCCGCATCTGGTTCAAATACTTGAAACTTTAGAGATAATGAATTCTTTACTACTGTTTATGGCTCTTTTGTTCCCCTTGAAATAAAAATAAAAAGTTACCTTCTCATAGAAATTGTTCTGAGTTAAAAATTAATCTGACCTACAATCTAAATCTGGATTCAGTCTATATATCTTACCAGAATCAAAAGAGTAAAAGTTAGAAATGATGGTTTGGTTCAGATTAGATTGTTTTATACGTCTGGTCTAATTGTTGACCTGTCAGTAGTTAATTTTCACATTAAATGATTAAGAGCAGGAACAGCTCATTAATCTGTATAAACTCTTAATACAGGTACATTTTGAGTGTACAGAAGCAATAAAATCAGGACTGAGTTCTGGAGGATATAATCGAAACGCTTGAAGTTCAAGGAGTTACCAAAGCACCTCATGTTGGGGTGTGGCACAGAGCAAGATGACAGTGTGATCTGGCTATGTTAGGTGTTTTATGCCAATCCTGAGATTTATGAATGTAGTTATATAGTATCTCAAGGCATGGTATACAACATGGGTTGACCATGCAAGGCATGATAGGAAACATGTTGCAAGGAATACTCATCACTTTGTAATGCAGAAGCTCTGAAATACATGGGAAAATAATCAGTACTGATAATTGTTTTGTTTTTAAATTAGGCAAAGATTTACTAAAAAGAAACAAGTGGTAAGCATAAAATTAGATTCCTAAATCAAATTTCATTAAAATGAAGATTTTGTTTCAATCACAAGACACCATCAGAGAGCAAAAAGGCAAGCCACAGTGTAAGATTTATAGTACATATGCCCAACAGAGAATTCATATCCAAAATATGTAAAGAAGTCTACAATTTAATAAGAGTAGACAACCCAATAAAATTTTTGCAAAAGCCTTGAAAAACATACTTTATAACATAAGACTTTGAAGTGTCCCATATAGGTACTTGTCATCATCCTTTATTAGGCAAATGCAAATTAATCCACAATGAGATACTATTGCACTCCCACCAGAATGTCAGGTTTTTTAAACCAACAGTATTGAGTATAGATAAAGATGCAAAACAGTGGGAGTCGTATACACTGTTTCTGGGAACATAAAATTGGCGCAATTGCTTTAAAAAATTGTTCAGCATTACTTAGTATGCATACCTTGTGACCCAGCAATTCTACCAAATTCACACCTAAGAGAAAACTGTACATTTTTACACCGAAACACAGGAACAAGAATGTTCATAGCAGCATTATTAATAGCCCCAAAGTGAAACAGCCCCAATAACCCAAATGTCACCAACAGTTCAATAGGTAAATAAATTGTGGGATATTCCTAAAATAGTATTACTATACAGCAATAAAAAGAATGACCACTACAAGCAACAACATGGATGAAATCTCAGATACAACATTCAGCCAGAGAAGCCAGACAAAAGTTTCATACTTTTAACATTTTTATGAAGTTCAAAAACAGGTAAAACCAATGTATGATGATAGAAATCAAAAGACTGGTTACCTTGAGGGGAATGACTAGGAGGGTAGAAGAAGGAGACTTCTTGGGCACTGATAATGTTCTCTAATTTGTGTGGTACAGGGTGGGTTCACTTTGTAAAAGGTTCTGCACTTCATATGTATTTACATATATTTTACTTTAATAAAAGAAAGTGGAGGGAAGGAGAGAGTAAAGGGGGAAATGGAAGAGAGGTGGGAAGATGAGGAAAAAAAAGGAAGGCTGACCATATCTCATGGGCAATGAATAGTTCATGAAGGTTTTTGAGCAAGGAAATGATGCAGTGTTTTAAGAAAGCATTTACATGACTGCAGGATTCACTGGAGAAATACAAATACTAGAAGAGAACCAACTAGCATTCAACAATCCTAGCATCCAAATCACCCAACAAATATTTATCAGTGCAGTAGAGCACAGTAATATCCTAGGCTTTCACATTGACTTACCACTGACTGACACTTGAGATGCGGGTAGTACTTCAGCTATTGCTACAGAGTTGGGGAGGAAGTGTAAAGACAATCGCTACAGGTTTGATGAGGGATCAAGGACTGAAATCAATGCGGTAAGATCACAGGTAAAATACATTATACAAATTTGCCAACTCCCAAATCACATCCTTTACACCATAGGAAAGCCTGCCAGCAATCACCCTTCTCTATTCTGGCTTGACGTTTCACTTCAGCCCTGTTTATCTCTCAGACTTCTGTTTATGCATCTTGCTCCGAAGAGTGCTTTCCACAGCCTGTGCTACCTGTGGTTCCTCAAATTTTTTACGGGATCTAGTTTCTAGTCTTTCCAGGTGAGTTAGAACACCTTTTGGACTCTACATCTTGACTTAAAGTATTCACCAGGTCCGTCTCCTCTCAGATTCCCGAGTCTTCCTAGGAAGCTGTCCAGGCAACTAGATTTCCTTGCGCCTATCCTCTGGCTCACCCAGTCCAGGGACGAGATGTCCCGCAGGTCTCGCCTTCAAAACCAAGCCCTCACTATTGACATGTAAAACCAAGTTTATGGAAAAATCTGGTCTCTAAATCAAGAACAATTAAAATCAATCTCAAATAATTTCCAGTTTTGAGGAGAAACGATATTGGTAAGATTCAAATTTAAATTACTCCACAGTTCAGTATTAGTCAATGCTCTTCCTGGGCAGTTTTGTATTTTGTAGGGAGAGGGAGGGGGAGATGGTTTTATGAATATAAAATCCACTGAAATAATATCTGAAAATATTTTGGGAAATAATTAGGATATTAACATTTAATCATTAAATGTGTTGGATCTTGATATGCATTTTATCAATGCATATGTGCACAGATACATAACTGCTGACATAAGTAAGTGATGAGAGTACAAGAGAGATTCAACCAGGAAATCGGTTTTGACTGATTTTGCAGAACAGGTGAAAGCACTCCAAGTTTTTTGAGGGATGAGAATAAAATAAGTGTGAATTTTAGAACACCATACAATTGTAGACCATTGTCAGGTAATAAATTATCCTATTCCAAGAAGGATTCAAATCCAGATCAAGTTTAAGAAAATTATGTTTTTAGCCCTGACTGCTGTCTGTGGCTTAGTGGACTGGGCATTGTCCTGCAAACCGAGGCGTGGCTGGTTTGATTCCCAGTCAGGGCACATACCTGGGTTAAGGGCAGGTCCCCAGTTGGGGCATATGAGAGGCAACCAATCACCAATTGATGTTTCACACATCGATGTTCTCCCTCCCTTCCCTTCTCTCTAAAGATAAATAAAATATTACATAAAAAATGCTTTTAAATGTCATATCAATTATATTTATTACACATGTAACAGTCTCTAAAGTTAAAAAGCTTTAAAATTAACAAGGACTTTATTTAAAGACTGTTGAACTAGAAACCAATCACAAGGAAGTAGTTTTATATCTAGAAAAGATAATGTTTATAGTTTGATGTGAGCACTGCTTACCTGGGATATAAATTGGAAAGTTGATACCTTTGTATTAAACAACAACCTGACAACTGATGAATGGGAGTTGAAAAGTATGTCACCTCTGTATTTTTAAATATTATTTTCCTAGGAGAAAGGCACTTGTCCCAAAGTCAACTCCGTTTTCTTAAATTAGAGTTGGATGTATTTTATATCCTATGTGCAATAACATCCAATTCCTATTACTGCTTAATTATATCCAACCTGCAGAAAAGTCCATATCTAATATTAAGAGGCCTGCCTGTGTAGCTTATACTCCTGCCAGAGCTGTTTTCTAAAAGAACAGAGGTTCACAGAAGCAATAGGTTTGCATATTATTACATTGACCTTGTATCTTTATTGCTGGAGGAAACTTTTACTGCTATGGCCCATCTTGAAAATAAAAAAACTTCTTGCACAGTCTGGGATTTATTTCTGACTCAAAAATATGGTATAAACAAAAATTTTTTCAATTCCAGCAAACTGAGAATTCTCACATGTTATTTGGAAACAAATAGAATTTTTCCAAATGGTATTTGTTACTTAAGACCATTACAAATATCTTCAAAACAAGTATATCATGGCAATAATATTTTTAGTAGTTTTTGCTTGATGCCAAATTTATTTGAGGAAATTTTTTTTTTCAAGGTAACAGCTGATGAGAAAATCTCATTTCATCAAAAGGGACTCTTAGAAAATATGAAACTAGTGTTTAAGGTAAACCAATATCTCTTCACCCATAATGAAGGTCCTATAATTCACATAATTTTATCACTGAAAACCAGAAAAACATAATGCTCTTGACTTACACCAATGGCATTGTGACAATTAATGTAGCTTTCTCTTTGATAAATTTTGCTGTAGTCATTTCAGTATCCACAGATTCTGGAAGATTCAGATGTAATTTGTACTTCTCAGAAACCTCAATCAACAAATCATCCTAAGAATAATAAACCAAGAAAGATTTTAAAAGGTGAAAGTAGAAAAGTATTTCCTGGTTAAAATTTAGTGCTATTAAGTTACTGTTCTCAAGTTATTTATTCCTTTCCCATAAGAAAAGGATCCCGACTTATTGTCACGTGACTTGCAATGGGCAATAAAGTTGCTGTTGTAAAATCCCCGAGTTTTTGAGATTATATGTCATTGCTCCTTAATACATCAAAAGTTTATTGATAGCAGTACCAGAAGATGGGTATTGTGATCCCAAGTTTTGTGAATTGACTTTGGAGCAGGCTAGCAAATAGAAAGGAAACTTGCTGGAGACTGGAAAGACGGTGATCTATGTTCTATAATGATAAAATCCTTAGTAAAACTATAAATAATTTGGAACACAAATTATCTTCCTAGTTAATCTGTGGCTTTAGGTGAAGAAGTGGGAAAATACAATGCTGATAGCATGCATTAGTTTTACTGGCTACATTTAACAAGGTACAACAAAAAGAGATGACCTTAGACTAGAAATTACCAGTTTGCAAGCAGAATTGAAAGGCAATATGCAGAGACCAGAAATTCTAAGACTTGTCAAGAAGGCAACTAATTATTATTTTCAACCAATAAAGGATAAAATTGAGATTTATTTATGTCAACAAAGGCTGATTAAGACAGCCTAGAGGCAAAGACTAAATAACAAGTCAATACTTTTGTTAAAATTTCTACCTGGGTTAAGGTGGACCTCTGTAATGCTTTACATTTGGCTCAGATGATAGCTATTAAGTGAAAAGGACAGGTCACTGAAAAATGGACATGCCTAAAAATAAATTGTTAGGTATACCACTGATTGGAATTAAGTAAAACATTGTCAGCCTGGACTAAAACTAATTTAATCTTTAGACCCCAACCTCCCATGAACATGAAATAGGCTGAGTAAACTACTCAGCATCTAAGGATGGCATAATCTCCCATGCTCTCTTTAGATGTGGCCAAAATAGATAGTGAAGGTGGTGGTGGAGGAGACCTCCCAAAGAATGAAACTGAAAGTAGTGGAAAACAATGGGAACAAGGGGGTTAGGTAATAAAGAAATGTCATGGCCCTAAGTGAGAACAGAGTCTGCATTTAGGGAACCAGATCCTCAAAATATGTCTACCAGGATTTCAGAACTGTTTTGTACCAGTAACTGCTATGTGCCTCATATTTATACCATTTCTGAATTGAGACTATTAATTGTGGTTATCTTTTCTTCATTTCATATTGTATGGTGCATAGGTTACAGTAGATAGCTTGTGTTTGCAGGTCACGGGTCTGGTCTGAGAGGAGCAGAATGCAGACTACCAGAATGCAAAAACCTGTACTTTGGAGTCTGATACTGGAATTGGAAGTGTCTTCCTTGAGAAAAGGTGCAAATATCTGTGACCAAGTATGGACTGTGGTAGAGTGAGGATTATTGCCAATTACTTGATCTTCTATAAGAGGACTATACATATATCCCTGCCATGTGACTTCCTGTGACTACTCTTGAGAAGAATATTTTTCCCTGCCCTTTTGATGTAGGACTTGGTCTAGTGATTTACTGCGGGTAATAGAAAGTGAGTAAAAATGATACATGCCATGTCTGAGAGGAAGTGTTAGGATCCATTGCATGGTTGGGCCACTTCTATTTTTCCCCTGCCAGGAAAATGACATTCTTCAGATGAGAATTGCTTCTTCACCTGTATCTTGAAATGTGTAAGATCTGTCAAGCAGAGTAGGCCTAGCTTAAATGTAACCTGAGCAAATTATTGTAAACCACTGAGATTGTGGAGTTTGTTACCACAGCATAATATAGGGAATACTGACTGATACAAATTTATAGTATTAATTATTCAACCTACCTGAGAAACACTAAGGTCACAGACAGATACTGAATTAATACCAGGTAATTCAACTTTTAATTCAATTTTAAGTGGTTTCTCATTCTGATCTGCCACAATTTTTAATTCATAGGCTGGTGTCTCCATTTCCACCTGGATTTCTGTACTGGAAATCTCTTCTATCAGACACCTTTTTTTGTCTGAAACTTGGTCTTTTGGCAGTAAAAGTTGAGGGATGTGATCTGGATTGCTCACAGTACTGCTTCTTATCTGCTCAAGGGTTAGTTCTTTATGGAAAAAAATGGGAAATAAAAATCGCAAAATTAATCAACAACATAAACTACTATCAAACTTTGAGCTGCAATATATATAGTGTTAGCCAAGATGGCAGATAAAACTGCAGCTAAATTAGTTTGGGAATCTTAAATTAGAAGAATCTTAAACCAAAAAGCTTTAAAAGTTTACAGGATTTAAAAATCTTTAAGGACATGCTAATATTTCTAATATCTAATCTTTATCTTTTTCTACTTTAAGTTTCTCATCTTTTAAAATTGAGATTTCTAGTTTGCAAAGTGTACACAGAATAAAAAAAATTTAAGTCAGTTTGATTTTCCATTTACATTCACTAACTTACCCTTTCTCATGTTCTGTCTTAAATCTGTGGGGTCGGTTTGAATTCTCATTAGATTTTGTTTCATCTTTTGAATGCTTCCTTTTATTTTAAATTTAGTAATATGGTAAAAGTGTGAGAGAGTAAACTGGAATTGTTCCTCAATGCATTTCATGGCCATCCGTATTAACTGATCTTTTTTCACTTGGTCCTTTTCTGCTGCCTGGAGAACATCAGGGTTGTAGGCAACATCGATAACTGTGTAAATATCTGCGTGTGAGATTCAGAAGGTGTGAAATGAAGACAACTTGTTTCACTACTGATATTGTCAGGTAATATATTACGTCATAATCCTGATGAAGCTAGAATGTATAAATTCTATTCCTGTATTTTTCAGAGACAATCATAATGATGCTATGTATACAAAATTTCAGTTAGGCATTTCTTAGCATTTTATATCGGTTAAAAACAGCTCATATTATTAGACAAACAGTATTCAATTTGCAAACAGTATTCAATTGCACTTTTACTTAGTGAATAACTACATTATACCGAAATAAAATAGTTTACATGTAAAATCTGGTTCATGGTATTCCCAATAAAATTTTTAAAATAGGTTTTGGGTCCTATAATTCTATGTACCTGATGTTTCAGACACATCTTCTGGTCTGCCAACACTTAGAGGTACTGGATGAGTGGCTGATTGTGGAGCTGGAATCCTTTTCCACTGACATAGGTTGATAAAAAGTATTTTTTCTTTTGGTTTCTAGAAATCAAATAATTTCGTATATCTTAAAACCCATTTTTTTTTTTTTTAGTTTAAATGCTATCCTAAAAGTAACAACACATCACAGAATTTGAAGAGTACGAACTTTAGGCTTCAGGTAAGTCCCTATATGTATGAAAACTATGTTTGAGAAATACTGTCCCCTGATTTCCCAAAGCTTTTCATCAAGAATCCAGTTGCTACTCTCAGAGTAACTGGGAGGAGAGAAAGGGAATTGACCTAAGCAGCTGTTTCAGGTAAATTTGTTTGACACTCTTATACTACTTCCTTACGTCCTCAACCAATTAAGTTCTCTTTATTTGAAAAATCTCCTCGTCTATGATTCTCTATTATTACATTACTTTTTATTTCATTCTAGCAGAAAAAATGGCTTGAGATCTCCAAAAGATAATCAATATTAATTTCCCATTTTTACTCGTTCAACACAATCTTCCACACTACATTTTATTTTCCACTTAGAGTGGCAGTTTTCCCTCAAGTTTTCTTGTGTTAAAGTAACAATAGCTAAGGGTATGCTATTCTGTGGTTATTGCAGGATCTTTTCATTCAGGACCTCCCCATCCCTGGGAACCACATCTACCTACCAGGATTCTTGTTTGTAGACACAGCCGTGGTTCTGGAACAGCACAGAGCTGTTTGCCCTCTTTCAGCTGCTGTTGAATGAACTTCTTGTAGCTCTCAGGGTTACTTTCAGCCAGATCATCTAAGAGGTTCCATAACTGATTAACTTGGGTGAGCAGACCCTTTGAGGATGATTCCATGATTGAGGTGAATAGGTCTCTTAAGTCTGTGGAAAGACATGACTTAAAGAAAAATAACTGTGTAACTATTGATTCACTTCTTTTTTGCGGGGAAGAGGAACAGGTCAGGAATTGTTTTGGTGAAGTTAGCAATTATCCGGAACACCCGTGTCTAAAGATTGTGGATCAGCACGACTTTATTTTTTCCTTACTCTTGGATTATCTAGTACCCCTTCCTGAATTCTCAAGCTTTTCTCCAGATAATAAGACCTTACTTCTACCTTGACCTTCACAAGCCCTGAGGGGAGCGAGTACCCATTCGAGTCTGGATTTCCCAATGGTTTCCTTTTTCCAGCACCTCGGTTTCGGCTGACTGGTGCCCTGTCCAGTCTGGAAACTGCCAGAGGTCTGTGTGGGGTGAGGGCCACATGAGACTTCCTCAATCCTCAGCATAGCTTAGTAGTTAAAAACATGGACTCTAGAGCCAGAATGCCTCTAGATTCTAATATTACTTCTATCACTTACTAGCTGGGTGATCTTGAGCAATAACTTTATATATGCGCCTCGGCTAATTATCCTCAAAATGAAGATAATACTTGTCTCACGGGGCTATTGTGAGGATTAAGTAGGCTAATGTAGAGAGACTGGAGCACTTGGTCAACACTATATGAGAGAAGTAGTAATATTTTCTCTACATCTTGAGATAAATTTCCTTGTACCCACACCCCCTCTACTGGAAGTTGTTCCAGCGCATCCATAGAATGAGGAAAAGAGGAGGTTTGGGTTCTTCAAATACTATATTAGGGTTACACTAAAGGGGAAACTTAACTAATGGACAATCATTATACAGGTCTGAGAACCCACCTACCTCTTCTCTCAGTTTCCTTACAAACCGTGACGCCTGTTACCAGGGTAACCAGACTAGGTACCTCACGCAAGTGGGTCCGGAAAGCTCCCGGCAGAGAAGTCTTTTTACATTCAGTTCCGGAATCTCCCCCTTATGTGGCCTCGCTTCTCCGCTGAGTCCGACCGACCTTTTCCAGGAAGGCGCCCGCCTCCATTCTGCACCTGTTGACCTCTTGAGCGTCTTGGAAAACCTCCCTGCGAAAGTCTCCGAGTCCCCTGTTGGTGGGAAGAATTTCTCGGAGCACGACTTCCGGCCTGAAAGGGAAGCTTGCTCCCTTTTCTCCCAGACTGCTTCCTGCCCCCACCCCCGCCACGCGAGGCTGCGGTGCACGGTATGGGTGTGTTTGTGTGCGTTTGTGTGGGGAGGGCGTTTGCAGGAAAGGTTACCGAGAGCTTCTTGGCCGCTGGGGGGCAGGGATCCCGGTGACAAAGATGGGAGTATTTTCTCTGTCTTCCACTTGGAAGCCTCAACCTCCCCTTCAGGCACTTTAGATACTTTTGGGGCCCAGTCGACGGCCGTACCCGTCCAAAGCGTCCCCATTGGGAGCGAATCCCAATCCCCGGGTCCGTCCCAGGGGAGCGTGAGCGGGGAATGCCCCGGCCAACCCGGGCGTCCGGATTCCTCACCCGCACAGCCTCCGGCCTCAGTCCTGACAGATATCTTGCCGGTGGGTCTGGGCTGAGGGAAAGGCAGCCGTGGCCTGGGGCACGGGTGAGGGCAGAATAACCGGTAGGAAGGCTGCGTTTTCACGAAGGACTCGGGTGAAGCTGCAGAGCTGCCTTTGAGCACTGACTCCTGGGCTTCCTGGGTCGGAGGAGATCTTGTAATGGAGTGGTTCTTCGTCTCACAGTAACAAGATGCCTGATTTCCTCAGGATCGAGGGGTGAGTGAGCGGTGGGGTGGTTGCACAAAGCTCCTGCTAGCCACACACGTTAATAGCCCTGTCATCTATTTTTTGGAGGCTTCTATACAAAATAGAAAATAAAATTCCCCTGAATGGAGAAATTTAGGGCATTTCTGTATTGATATTTTTAGGAGTCAGTTTTTATTATTGTTGATAATGTGGCTCCTGACACTCAAATGGAGATATTTGCTTCATCGCAAACGAATTGTTTGGGGTTTGAGAGTTGATTTCTAATCTGGACCTTGTTTGCCTTGGACCATTTGGCCTAGGACAAGTAATAGCTTTAAGGGAATTTTGTCTACTAATTAGGAATGAAAATACTTGCCTCATATGAAACATAGAGTACTTTTTAGGAGAAAATAAAAGTGTCATTCCAAGGAACTCCAGTGTGCACTTAATCTCCTTTTATCCTCACATTTCTGTGGTCAGGCATTTTCCCCTTTTAATGGTGAAGAGAAAAACTATTACTCAGGAACTGTGAGTTCTAAGTGATCTTTCCTTTACCTCATGCTTTTTTATAATATTATAATGAAAAATAATAAAATAAAGGAAATTATTATTTTTCAATGTTATTTATTGATTCATTTCAGATTGAAGAATGTCCCGGGTTCCACTTGGGAAAGTCCTCCTCAGGAATGTCATCCGGCACACAGATGCTCACAATAAGGTGAGAGGTGCACCCTAGTTATTCCTCCTCATGAAGCGAAGGCATACAGTGTGCCAAACGTTATTTTTGTACTGTTGGGTGATACAAGATGAATAAAATAGATAATTACAATATAGTTTGATAATTACTATAATAGAGACATATGTTTTAGTGCACTAAGGAAGAAATAATGAAATTTGCCTTGGGGAGTTAGGAGAGGCTTCACAGAATGGGTGGTATTTGAGGTGCTGATATTTGAACTAGTTGTTGGTGAACAGATAGAAAATCATATACTAACATGGCAGTAATAACGCATGAAGCACTTGGGGCATGTCAAGAAATTGTGTGCATCCAGAAAGTAGGGAATGTGGGGGATAGTGACAGAAGATGAGGCCTGAGTGGATTATGATGCTTGGAAATTAGATTTTTTTTTCCTCCAGGTAATAAACTATCAAATACTTTTAAACAAGGTGTGACTTGATTGTAATTTTAGAGAGATGTAATTTTCGGTTGGGTAGGGGATGGATCAAATAGGTTGAAACAGTAGAGAGACTAATTAGGAGGCAGATGCAATGTTCCAGGTGAGAGATGGTGAGGGAGGTTCACATGAAAGCAGGGATGAAGATGAGGAATTTAGGAAGTGGAATCCAAAGAAAGAACTTGGTGACTGATTGGATGATGGTGATAATTATGGAATCAAACACAACTACCTGTATGGCTGGGTAAATGATGATGATGCCATTTATTGAGATAGGAAACAAAAGAAAAGAGACAAGTATGAAGGGAAAAGTAATTAGTTTGGTTTTGAACATGTTGATGGTGAGGTGCTTATAGGATGTCCAAACAGTTGGAAATTCAGACTTGGAGAAAAGGAGAAGTATTGAGGCTAGACATAGACGTTGGGGGATTATTGACATATAGAGGTCATGAGAGTAGATGAGGTCACCAGAATACAAAAAATGAAAAGAGGGCCAAGGGCCCTTATTTGGTTTTGTTTAGTGAACTCTACAACTCCTAGTTTGATAATAAATGGTATTACTATCATAACACCTGCTATTTTTTGAGTGCATAACTGTCATCTAAGCAGCCTCTGCAATTGTATTAAACCACCCCTAGTTGAATGGTGAGCTTAGATTTGAAAGTGGTGGCTAAAAATAAATCTAGCACAAATTTAACAAAATATTATAGGAGGACTTAGAAATAAAACATATTCTTGTTTTTTTGACCAATTGTAATCTGCTTCTCTAGCAATTCTCATGTTTTATTTTGTTTTGTTTTCAATAAAAATTATAATGTTGTGAAAAGGAACTTAGCCTGAAAAGTTTAAAGACCTGCCCTTGCTAGCTTTTTGACTTTGGTAAAATCTCTGAGCTTTTGTTTCTTCTCAGTAAAATATGATAATGGTTTCTGCTTTGCTTTCCTCATAAGATTGCTTAAGGTTCAATTTAGATGATACAGTTAAAAAAACTTTTCAGAAATATAAGGGATTATCATTTGATAATTACAGCATAATTGCAAAATTCATAAGGTTATAAGTGTGTCTATGCAGGGGTTAAAAAGTTCTGTTGCTGCAGAATTCTGTACATTTGAGATTTACTGGCTCGGATTGTTAAGTCATATTAGAGAAACCAGAATTAGTCTCTCAGGTTCTTTTTGTTTAAAAAAAGATTTTATTTATTTATTTTTAGAGAGAGGAAAAAGGAGGGAGAAGAAAGGGGGAGAAACATCAGTGTGTGGTTGCCTCTTGCGCTCCCCTTACTGGAAACCTGGCCTGCAACCCAGGCATGTGCCCTGACTGGGAATCAAACTGGTGACTCTTTGGTTTGAAGGCCGGCACTCAATCCCCTGAGCCACACCAGCCAGGGCAGTTTCTCAGGTCCTTGATCATAACCCAGTCTAAAATCCAATAATTAGTGCAGACTATATTTTCAATTATTTTTTTTGTTATGTAAAGTGGTATTTTTAGTAACTTATTTTAATTTCTTCTCTTTAAAAAATGCTAGATTCAGGAGGAATCAGACATGTGGAAAATAAGAGAACTTGAGAAACAGATGGAAGATGCTTACCGGGGAACTAAAAGAAAAATGTTACCTAGCAGCTCAAGGTGAAGTTGGAGCTATGAGAACCAAAATCATTCTCATCTTATTCAGAATCATCAACTTTTGTTTAAAAACATTTTGGTATGCTAAAGACATATGAATTCAGTTTTGTGAGTCCTTAAGCCTTCCCTTTGACAAACCTAGACCCAAGCATAAAGGTAATGGCTACGGTGCATATGGTTGCACTCTTTGTCCTTATTTGCAATCAAAAATTTTAAAAGTCTACCTTGAACAATTGTAAACATTAAGTATTCTGTGGATTCTGACCATACCTTATGGCTTTTAACATTAGATTTTCTATTTGTGTCTTATGGCCATGTAGCTGATGATTTACTCCTGTCCCCTATTAGTCTTCCATTCTCTCGGAGCCCACCCTTCCATCCTCCCTCCCTCCCCCCCGCCTTTCTCTTCTTAGCCTTTTTTTTTTTACCCCACCTACTCACTATTTTTGCCAAATCACACAACCTTTCACATTACCTTATTAATTTGAGTGTAAATCTGAAGGATTATGCTGGCTTAGTTGTCTTACTCGTAGGGTATAGGAGTGTCTGAGTGTTAGGAACATCTGTTGGGTCTCATATGCCTGTTAGTGTACAGCTGTGTGTATGACAAATGACTAAAAATAATAATACAAATTTCTAAAGCCACCCAGGAAAATAGTTAATAGTGAAATATTTAAAAAGAATGAGTGTACCTGCAGAGTATGCAGACTTTGGAGTGTGACTGGCTGTGTGCAAATGGCTTTAGACAAGAAAGTATGCAGGGTATCCATGGTAAAGAAAGCAGAGTCTCAACATAAAAATAAATATCTTTTCAGTCTGTTTTTCTCTGAAGATGGTTTTTGAGAATTTAGAATTACTGTTAGTGCAGATAATCATTTGTTTTGTGTTGGTTATTCAATCCTAAGTGGCACTTCAAAGAACAAAATGCTGTCCTTTTTGAGTGGACTATAATGCCTATCATGGTGAATAAGTCTCTAAACATAATCTCTTTTTTTTTTAAAAAAAGATTTTATTCCTTTACTTTTAGAGAAGGGGAAGGGAGGGAGAGAGAAAGGGAAACTTCGATTCCTGGCCTCTTACCCACCCCCAACTGGGGACCTGGCTGGCAACCCAGGCCATTTGCCCTGAGGGGGAATCAGCCAGGTTTGCAGGGTTTGCAGGCTGGCGCTCAATACACTGAGCCACATAATCGCTTTAGGAACAGGGATTCTGATAGTCTCATTTGTATTATGTTCCAATTAGAAGAGTACCTGGCACATAGAAATCCTTACACATTTCTTTATAAAGATTTTTATTTATTTACTTGGAAGGAGGGAAAGAGAAGGAAAGAAACATTGATGTGAGAGCGAATCACCAATTTGTTGCCTCTCGTATGTGCCCTAGTCAGAGACCAAACACACAACCCAGGCATGTGCCCTGACTGGGAATTTAACTGGCAACCTTTCGCTTTGCAGAATGATGCCCAGCCAACTGAGCCACATAGGTCAGGGCAACTCCTAAACATTTTTGATAACCAATTAGCTAGCTTTAGTGACTGGGTTAGTGGATATTGTAAGTGCAGACTGAATCAGTGGTTTTCTACCTCAACACACTCATCTGTTAGGCCTGTTGCCGTTGTTACTGGGACCTTATTACAGCAAGTTTTTGGTTTCCAGGGAGTATATTTAAAATTTCTGGGGTAGTTTGAAATATCCCCAGCTTTGATTGTGTTTGCTTCCCACTTTGCATACTCTCCTAGTTGAGAATTAATGAGTGAACTACAGTGTCCCACAGTCCAGAAGTTGTTTCATTTATATTCTGCAATAGGATGGATAATAATGCTCAGATTTTCACTGGGTAACTATACAGACTTACAGAGAGGAACAGATCATATCTTGTTACATGATATAAAAAAAAAATTAAGTATCAGTTTGTTTTGTTCTCCCTCTTAGCTTGTTCAATGACTTTTGTGCATGATGTTCCATAAAGTAACCTCACAAATTGCTTCAGATCTGAAAGTTCTTCTGTTTCCTCATACAGCCGGATGCGTAGTGATGGTTTTGATGAAGAAAGTCAAAGAGACAATTGGAGGCCAAGGAATGAAATTTCTGGGGCACTGGAAGATGATTTTCTTAAGGCTAAATCCTGGAACAAGAAGTTATATGATTATGAAGCTAATATGCCAGACAGGTTTGTGACTAAATTCTTGTGACCAGTAATGATATTTGGCCTGAGAATGTGTACTTTAAAAAATTAATTATCTCTACAAAAACTTGTACACAAATGTTCACAGCATAATTATTCATTATGGCCAAAAAAGTGGAAACTCAAATGTCTATTAGCTGATGAATGGATAAACAAAATGTGGTATACTGAATGGTAATATTGGGTTGGCCAAAACGTCTGTATGGTTTTTTCTGTAAAATATAAGTCATATTTTTCATTTGCACCAACAGCTTTATTGATTTATTTTTGAGTATGTGGGCTATCTCCCGCTATTGGCTTCTAGTGGATATAGGCCAGGAGTGCTGCTAAACATCTTCCAATGCATAAGCCAGCCCCACATAGCAAAGAATTGTTTGCCCAAAATGTCAATAGTACCAAGAAGCTTCGCAAACCACTTTTGACACATTCAATCAGTCACAGCACTTTCTCCATACACTGCACAAATCATTTCTTGTGTTTCAGTTGTGTTTTTACCTTTCTTGAAAGAATGAAGTGTAATACACTGAAAATGTTGCATATCTTCTTCCATCTTCAATATTAAAATAGCTACACAAGAATTAACCAATTTTGGTAATTTTTAAAAAATGCACACTGACAGCTGTCACAATGCAATCTAACAATTATTTTGAGTGAAGTTCAAGACAACCACTACTAGAGCCATCTTATGGAAAAAATCAAATGAACATTTTGGCCAACCCAATATAATGTCATCTAGCAGTAAAAGGAATAAAGTACTAATAATATGCTCCAATGTGGATGAACCTTGAAAACACTGTGGTAGGTGAAAAAAGCCAGACACAAAAGCCACTTACTACATGATTCTATTTATATGATATGTCCAGAATAGGCAAATCTATAGAGACAGACAGTAGATTAGTAGTTGCCGTGAGCTACAGGAGAGGGAGGAATGGGGACTGCTAATGGATGGGATTTCTTTTTAGGATGATGAAAATGTTATGAAATTAGATAGTGGTGATGGTTGCACAACTCAATATATTAAAAGCCACTGATTTGCACACTTTAAAAGGGTGACTTTTATGGTATATGAATTATATTCAATACTCTTTAAAAATTGTACCAAAGTAGACAGAATTATGTTATGAAGTGATTTTGAAAAAGTACTTCATAGCTAAAGAGCAGATTATAAGAGTTGTTTCTGTTTTGTAAGGAAGAGAATGGTAAGTTCTCTTACAAATGGACAAAGGAATCCTTTGTGTCTGAAATAATAGTGTGCACTACAGAAAAATGTAGCCAGCTAAGTTACTGAGCTATAATGTGGGGTTGGTTCTACTGTGTCTCTATTTTCTTTGTTCTGTGTATGTATGTGCATGCACTCCTATATCTAATTTTCAAAAACATATGCATTGCGTTAATAATATGTGTGATAAAATGTCATGTTACAGATGGGGTCACAGTGGTTATAAAGAGCTATACCCTGAAGAATTTGAAACAGACAGGTAAGACAAATAGTCTCATTGCAGAAAAAAAGTTAAAAACTAGGCTTAGTACAAAGTCTGACCTGTAAACTGAGTGCCTGGTTTTTACAAAGCATGTAACATTTGCCATTAAAAATGTAATGAGAAATAATAGGCAGTTTAGATGGAAGGTGGTTGGTATTCCACCTATCCCTGATTGATACTTGACTTATCTGTAGCACTTAGTTTTTTCATATATAATGTCCCATACATATAATGTTCAGTATGGCAGATTAAAATTATTTCATATTAAAAATTCTTTATAATTTAAAAACAATTTTAAACAAAACATCTTTCTTCCTATCAGATTAGAAAAATAAACTTTTTGATAATGCCTAGTGTTGCTGATACTAGTGGTAAGCAGATCTTCTCAATATACTATTTTTGCTGAGTCCAATGATATTTAATGGTTTTAGTGCTATTTTACAAATTAGAATTTTTATGTTCATTTTAAAGATGAGGAAAGAAAAACTCAGAGTGATTACATCTCATAGTAACCCTTTGTCAAAGCTGTTTTAAAATGCATGTTTACCCCAACTTCATATCTAGAATGCAGAATATTAAAATACTAGTATACTTCTAATTTTCTATAGTAAAGCAGTTTTTCTTTTCTTTTTTTTTTATTAGTGATCAGCAAGATATTACCAATGGAAAAAAAAGATCTCCCCAGGTAAAATCATCTACCCATGAATCTCACAAACATAAGAAGTCAAAGAAATCTCACAAAAAAAAGCAGAAAAAAAAGTCACACAAAAAACAGAAGAAAAGCAAAAAGGAAGCCACAGGTATAATGGCAGATTCCTCGAACGAGTTCTCAGAAGAAACTGGGGCTTCTAGTACCAGGAAACAACCACATAAGCATAAGAAAAAATCAAGGAAAAAGTCTCTTAAAAAATCTGCTTTGGTTTTAGAGGCAGAAAGTGACACTTCTCAGTCAGATGATTCTGCATCCAGCAGTTCTGAGGAAAGTAAGGAAAGAGACACTAAGAAAACCAAAAGGGAAAAGAGAGATAAAGTCAATATCCCTGTAGTTAGCAATGAAAAACAGGAGAGGACAAACAGACGCACAAATTGGAAAGTGGCTACAGATGAGAGGTCTGCTGAGAGTTCAGAGGATGACTAAATGAGAAATGTTCTTCAGTTTCCACATGACGCGGATATTTACAGCTCTTGCACCTTGGGGCTTTGTCGGTGACTCTGTTATTCATGGGCCCTGAGATTAGAGCTGTCCTGTGCCATTTATATACATTTTCACAGACTTGTCTTCTATTTTGGCCTGTTAAACTTGATCCTTGTGGTTAATAGGGAATCTGGTATTTTGTTATGAAGGTTTCTTGAAGAGATTATTTTTTGCAGTTAATTACATTGAGCATAGAGTACGTATACAGCAAATTAAAGAACCCAGAAAGCAGAATCCAGTAATGACCTGGTTCACCAATTAGAATGTTGAGTCTGGGAAAATCAAGGGCTGGGATCAAGAGATGGATTGGAACCAGTGCTGTGCACAATGTATGATAAGGGAACATCGTGTTGCTCTCGTTTGGTTTATATAGCCGGTGCCAGTTGACTTTGTCTTAGCCTTGGTGCTTTGATCTTTCTGTATTTTGGCCTCATGTGTGTGGTCATTTATTTAATGGGGAAATGAACATAAGAACAAACATTTTTCCCTTCATAACATCCATAGACAGCTATTAGAAGAAACTAGGGATTTCTGTCAAATTTCCCTGCTGGACAGGGACTGTGGCTATTCTAAGTATACCCATAAACATGGTAATTGGATAGTAAATGGTTTAACAGTTCAGTTGCTGTATATTGCCTAAGTGGACTTGGTTTCAAAAATTGATTCTTTTAGGTAAGTCCTCAACAAGTGGGGAATTAAGAATTAGTTATGCTAATGGTGCGCTGAACAGGCTTCAGGGCAGCATCTGCCATTTAAATGTCTTCCTTACTCATTTCTAAATCTATTAATGAACTTCAGATTTTCCCTGAAACTAGGTTGAATCAAATCCAAAATGAAATAGACTTCTCAGGGACCTATCTACTTTCCAGCCTGCCTTTGGATTAAAGCACCAAGCAGAGACCATATTATTTCCCTTTTACTATATGCTGTAATCCCTACTACGTTAATTCTAAGAAACCAAAATAACACTGAAAGGCTTGCAGAACACAAATTAATTTTTCATTATGGCGGATCAAGTGACATACTGCTTTTCCTGGTTGTCACTTCATGGGCTGACTCAACTCTTGGTCTTGGTTCTGCCAGTAGTTGGTTATGAGGTCTGAGAGTGGGTAAATTAACCTCCCTGACCGACCTTTTAACCCCATGTTAATACACAAAATACTTCATGGTGACATGACAGTGTAAGACACCAGCAATAGAATTATAATTATGACATCATTCCATGGTGGTAGTATTTTATAGTTCTAACCGCTAAATTTGTTCTTTACAGATTGCCAATAAAATGCTTAGTCATAAAGTACATGGTTGGCCAGAGGTTCCCTATCCCCTGAAAATAAGCAGGTGCTACCTTTGGGGATATTTATTTGAAATATTAATACTTCGGTACTCAATTATCAATGTTCAGTGGTATATATTTTTACCTTTGGGATTAGTAGGGGCCCAAGGAGGGAAGAACAGTCTGTAATTACTACCTCTTAACCTAAAGCAATTGTTTTGTTCTTGGAGCAAGTGAAATCTTTGTTGGAGGGAATGTTCATGGTTTATTTATTTAATTTTTTTAGCAATGTTTCTGTACTACAAAAGTACTGATTCTAAGCACAGATTCAGGAGGATGGGCCAGTAGAATAAAGCATCTCCAGGAAGTTGGGTCTTGACTTCCCTCCTCCCACAGTAGCAGGCCTCTTTCCCAACAAATACACATCTTGCCTGTTTTGTTTTTTGCCATGTTTACCTTTTCTTGGTATATATAAGCAATAAAGCTGTTTTCTGTTCTCCACTTTCTCAACCCTAAGTTTTCTTACATGCCTAAGGCTGGGGCTTTGATGGTTCTTCCAGCCCCCTTAAATACAGCTTAAGGTGATTCTTCAAAACCTATGATCGCCCATTTGCACTACTACCCTTAGAACATACTCATTTCTAGTGTTCCTGCTGATCAGAGATCTTATTAAACCCTAAAATAGGACTTTAAAAAAGTTTGGAGAATTCACATTTATTGAGTAACTTTTGTGATAACAGTATGGAATTTCTGAATTCCAAATAAATTTCACTTCTGAACATTTGATCTGTTACTTTTTAGCACCAACAGGCTTGGTAATAGCTTGAAGTTGACATGGCAGTGGGTTAACAATTTGCCCCCACTAGCCCTTCAATCTGTTTAATAACAAGTCCTTTGCTTCTTCTGTCATTCTTCCAGGGAATGGCCTACTGTCCTCCTTTCTGTACCATCTGGGCAAACCGACTGGTGATAGCAAGAGTAGTATCAATGAAGCGGTCCACACAGCTAGAGAGGCAATTTTCAGTGCGAGAGTCCAGGCGATTCCCTGGCTTCTCCACACATTTATCCCAACAGAGCTCCATGAAGTGATGCACCTACGAGGAAAGAAAAATTATAACCATTGGGTCTGTATATAGGCCTAAGTGGGAATTTTCCTATTTCCTTACCATTTTTATTTTCTCCCACCTAAAACACTCTTTCAATCAACAAACCATGGCTCTTCTCTTTCCTCACTTCATAATGTCTCCAATAAGGTCAAGATCCTCATCTCTACATTGCAACAATCCTTTTACTCTCCTTTTCTATTTTTCTCTTTAGTAATTAAAAAATACTTTCCATCAAGTTACCTCTGCTTGCTTAATGCATCAATTTCTGTTAGCTACTCAGGGCACTCACTTCCTTATTTAACCGCCCCCCCCCCATACTGTTTCAATGAGGCCTGCACAACATACTCCACGTTTTGTTTTTTTTTTTAAAGGTTTTATTTTCAGTGAGCAGGAGGGAGGGACAGAGAGATCCATTGGTTGCTTCTCACATGCCCACAACTGGGGACCTGGCCTGCAACCCAAGGATGTGCCCTCACCAGGAATGGAACCTATGACCTTTCAGCATGCAGCAGGCCAGTGCTCAATCCACTGAGCTACACTAGCCAGGGCTCAATTTGACTCAATACTACTCCTGAAAAGCCCTCCCTAAAGATTTTACCCATCATCAAACAGTTCCAATTCTTATCTCCTTGAAGGCCATGGTCTATTACTTTCTAATTGTATCAAGCCCTCAATCAGAATGTAAATTTTCAGGCAGGACTGCTACTTTTTTTATATTCCCAAACTAGCACCAGTGTAAGCTGGGAAGGTATGGTCCCAATTAATTCCCCCAAACCACCGCACCCATATGATTCTAAACCTACCACTTATTAAAGAGTAGTTACTAAGTTTTTAACATTCTGGAAGTCATGAACGAACACATGTGAGAACCCAATGAAACTTATAAATCCACCTTCCAGAAAAATGAACATACAGGCATAGAAAATGTATGCACTTTCACAAAGTTCAGGACTTTAAGATTTCTAACCCGGGTCTTGGGAGTGGGGTGGGAGGAGAAAAAGCCATTCACCAATGGTTCATTATTGGGAGGCTGGGGCCTAAGCGTTCAGTCTATCCTTTCCATAGTCCTAAAAGATGCCTTGTCATCTTTGTTTCAGAGGGTGGTTAAGTAATCAGCCCTAAGTAATGCAGCTAATAAGGGGCCATCCTGGGGTTCCAACCATGCCAAAAGGGCTCTAAAACTCCTGTAAATAGTCTAGACATTACTTCAGAGCCCCCTTTTTCCAATAATGTTCTACCACTCTATCGTTTTCAAATACATTATCTCATTTGATCCTCACAATCCAATGAGGCAATGGGCGACTGTGAAACCAAGACACGTTCTGAACGGGAAGTCTCTTCTAAGGACACGTGGCCTGTAAGTGGGAGGATGAGGTTAGAACCTACGCCTTGCTAGTGTCAGCCCTCGCCGCCAAACTAGGTTCCTGTGCCCTTGTGTCGCCCGAATCTTTCTTCTCCGCTTTACACGTTCTGTTTTCCCCACCATGGGCTTGCTTAATGGGTACTGAGCACCATCAGTCACCAGCGGCGGAAGTGCCATGATTCGTTTCTTCTGCGAGGGGAACCGGGCATAGCGGGGACATCGGGCGACCTCAACGCGACGCCTGCGTACGCAGCTCCGCGGGTGCCTGGGACCTGTATTCGACCCTATTTTCTTGTCACCCTCGTCCCTGACTACACACCTGTGCGGTGAACTGCGCCTTCTGCTGCTCTGCCGCCACCAAGCGCTGCAATTCCGCTTCGTCCGCCTCACCCAGGTCCGCCATCGTCCGCGTGGCGTTCCAGACCTTCGGGACAGCGGGTGTGCGCATGTGTCGCAGGAGCGCGCCGATTCCCGACTTCCGGTTACCTATCCTTTTCCTCATTCTCTTTCAACGTCATGGGGTGGGAGGTGTCCTATGACTGTTTCCGGGTTGCTGGGTGACCTTGAGGTTTAAGGAGCGAGATGGCGAGCATCTGGAGGCTGGGTGTCCTCTGCGGTGCCCAAGGAGGCCGAGGTGAGGGGTGCTGGCAGGCGAAGGTTCTTAGCACAGCTTCCCAGCTGTGGAAGGGGATGCCGTGAGCATTCGGCTGCCGGGTGGTGAAACCTTGAGCAGGGAATTCCTCCTTCTTCCCTTTAGCTACGCTAGCTCCTGCCAAAACCGTTGCCTATGGGCCCAGACCAGCCGAGCGCGTTTCTCTCCTCTTCTGGGCCGATGTGGTGAAGGGGTAAATCTGAAGGAATTCCTTCTGGAACTTACAGTCCTGCTGAGGCTATTCATAAGAGTTCTTTTTTTCCCGCTCCCCATTCACTGTCCTTGGAATACTCCCACTTTTTTCCTCCCCATTCACTGTCCTTAGAATGAGTCGGAAAAGAGGATCCAAGACCCAGTGCTTGGTCTTGCTCATGTTCCCTGGAGTTGGTTTAGCGGGTCAATTCGGTAAGCATTGAAGTGGGCATTTGTGTTATACCAGGCACTAGTAAGGTTAGGATACAAGTGTGAATAAAACATAGTTCTTGCCCTCAAAGACTTTTCCTTTTTATAGGGAAAACACATATAAGCATAATTTAGCATCAGACAAAAACTGTTGTGCTGTATGTAAATTGTCCCGCCAGTACAGAGGGAGAATATATTTAGCTCTGTGTTTGAAAGGATTACTTAGACTCCTGTCTTGAAGGAGGTGTGCCTGATTTGAGTCTTAAGGATAAGGAAGGCCACAGGAATAAGGGCACTGCAGCTAGGGCTACTGGGATGAGCAAAAGCAATGACGAAGGTATAGAAACTGATTGTTATGAGAGAAAATGATAAATCAGATATTATTAGAGTGTGAAGCTCAAGATACGGAACGAGAGATGAATCTGGAAAGGTGAGTTGGAATCACATCATACAAGAACTTGACTTTTTACGTCAAGTGAAGGGGAACCTTTGAAAGATTTGACATAGATTTGCAGTTTAGTTTGACCTCTTTTGTAGCAATGTGGTAGATGGCCATCATGGGAGATGGACAGACTAAGACACAAGTCAGGGAGATAAAATAGGGCACTGTTGTAGTAGTTCAGACAAGGATGATGAGGTCCTGAACTTGGCGAATAGTACAAAAAAGAGAAAATTGTCTCAAGGAATGTTGGGATACATCAGTTTAGCAATTGACTGAGATCAGGGGAAAAGCCCTACATGACTTCCAGGTTTCTGGGTTAGTTTGAAGAGTAGCTGGATGTCATTAAAGTGGGGAACATGCAAATGGGAGACAATTTTATATGAGAAAGTGAGTTGAAGGATGATTTTAGTTTCTGGCCTGGTGAGTCTGAAGACCTTGTAGGATATCTCAGGGGAGAGGCCCAGCAGGCACTTAAACTTCTAAATCTGGAGAGATACCAGGGCTGGAGATACAGAATATGGATGTTACCAGCTTCTAGGCAGTAGAAGCTGAGTGGACAGAATAGCTGCAGGTGGGCAGAGGATAGAAGAATCCTGGGAAAATATTTAAGAGTGAATGCAGGAGGGGCCTGATAATAGAATGATCAGAAAATCAAAGAGAGCCAGAAGAGGGTTCTGTCTGAGGAAAAAAAGGGAGAAAAGACCGCCACTTGCATATGGCTACTTGAGATCATTGGCAACATACCAAAGCAGCTTTGGTGGGGATAAAAATAAGTTTCAGAGTTAAAGAGTAAGGAAGTGAGGAATTCAAGATGATTTCAATAACACTTTAAAGAAGTGTGGCTGGAAAGAGGAGAAAGAGCAGGGGAAGAGTACACGGGCATTAGAATCAAGGGAGGTATTTTACATCAGTGGAGGGAAAATGGCTATAAGAAGGAGAGGTTAAAGATGTAGGAGAGAAATTACCTTTTATTACAACTCCGGGAATTATGCTAAGCACCTTGCCTATATTATTTAATTTTCAACAGTATTATGAAGTGCTACTATATCCATTTTATAGAAAAGAACATTGAGGTTAGAGGGTCTGTTTAACTTAATTGCTGATCATCTCACAGCTACTAAGTGGCAGAGTTGCGTTAAGTTAGGTCTGCCTATTTTTTAAACAAGAGACAGGCTCCCAGAGGGGACAGAAATAGATGGGTTCAAGAGTACAAGTCGAGAAATTGATCTTGAAAAAGAAGATGGTAATAGGTAAACTTCCCAAACAAGACTGAATTCCTTGAGGACAAAGATTGTATCTTTATCTCTTAATCCAGTGCAGAGCAGATGAATTAATGGAAGGTGAAAACTATAATTTACTTTTTTTTTTTAAAGTATTTATTTAGAGAGGGAGAAAGATGAGGAGAGAAATATCAGTGTGAGAGAGGTACATTGCCTCTCGCACACCCTCAACCAGGGACCTGGCCCACAACCCAGATACGTGCCCTGACCTGGGATTCAACTGGCAACCTTTCAGTTTGCAAGATGATTCCCAACCCACTGAGCCATACCAGTCAGGGCTATAATTTACTACTACTTTTTTTTTTTTTAAAGATTTTATTTATTTAGTTTTAGACAGAGGGGAAGGGAGGGAGAAAGAGAGGGAGAGAAACATCAGTGTGTAGTTACCTCTCGCGCACCCCTTACTAGGAACCTGGCCTACAACCCAAGCTTGTACCCTGACTGGGAATTGAACCAGCGACCCTTTGGTTTGCAGGCTCAATCCACTGAGCCACACAAGCTAGGGCTAGAATTTGCTTTGTAAGAATAGTAAAAGTAAAGCCCCTTTACATAAGTGGTTTGTTGATTTTTCAGTCTTTCAATGGCTACTTAGTTTGAACTCACAACAACCTAATAAAGTAGGTGGATCCTTATTTTATGTATGAGATGTTATCAGCTATTTGAATTGAAGTAGCTTGCCTATGACCATTTTAAAAATTCTGTCAGTCCTGTTACAAGAGAGGTGCTTATGATCACACTAACAGATACTAAATGGTCTCTCTTCAGCTCTCTTCCGGACCCCAGTGGTCAGACCTGCTCAAATCTCGGCATTTCTCCAGGACGAACCTACGCCAGGATGGTGTGGAATACAGCACATTCATCTGTCACCCAGCCGCCATTGTATGTTTTCTCCATTGCTGCTGCTTTCTGGGCTCTGGCCATCTTCAGCTGAGCTAATTATCATGTCTTTGGGAGGACTTGTTATCTGGGGGGGGGGAACTCTTGTGTTCAACTCTGTCAAACGAAGACCTAACCTACACCATCCTGTGGGCAGACAGTGCCAGCATGGTTGAATGATGCCATTTACACTCACAGAGAACCTCCTGGTATAAGTCTTTTTAAATTTTTAAATTTTTTAAAAAAGAAAATAGTTCTGTAGGAATAGTCTGTTCAGTAGTTTAATCTCTCTTATTTATTTAGCTTATGGAGAGGAGCCAGATATGAATAATTTAGAATAGCGAGCGATTTTTCAAAGTCATGCATATTTATAGTTGTAATTGTTTATTTTTATATAGGTGGATCATGGCGTTTCTTGGATGAGTATTGTTTAGATATTATAAAAATTAGTTTTAGAAGGTCTCTAGGTGAATAATGAGTTAACTGTAGTATTTCCATTTTTGAACTCTGGAAAGATCAATATATTACAGATATAAAGACTTTTCTTGAGCGCTGGCTGGATAGCTTAGTTGGTTAGAACATCGTCCCAATATGCCAGGGTTGCGGGTTCAGTCCCCACTCAGGGCACATACAAGGATCAACCAATGAATGCATAAATAAGTGGAATAACAGACTGACTGATATTTCTCTCTCTGTTTCTCTCCCTTCCTCTCTCTCCAAAATAATAATAATAATAGTATTAAAAAGAGACATCTCTTTATTCTTACATCAGCCACTGAGATATAGTTGTGTCTGAGTTATGAGAAATTAGGCAAGTGTGGTCTTTTTGCTTTTGAGAATAATTTTATCTTTGAAAGTTGTTGTTTCTGCATTTCTTTGCTTAGTGTAGTTAGATTTAGCAGAGTAGTTTTAACTTGGGGTGCCTGGGACCAAAGGAAAGCCTCTGAAGTTGTCTACAGTTTTTAATGTATGTGCCTGTATGCATTTTTCTGGGAAGTCACTCTGTCCTTTTATTAGATTTCCAAAAGACTCTGTAACCAGAAAAAAAGATAGAGGCTCTCAAAAAAATGTTTATAGCCCATTTTGTTTTTCACTTGCTTAAAGTAAGTTTTCATGTTCCATTTCTGTTTATAAGCAATGGGACAGAACAAGGACCATGATCCTAAAGGTTCACATCAGCACTTCGCCTCTGAGCTGGCTGGTTTAATTTTGTCTTAGGATTTTTAGTATTACCTTCTAAAGATTAGAAGGTGTAAAAAAAGTAATGTTTCAAAGGAATTTCTCAAGTGTCACTAACTTATATTCATAAGGTATCTGTCCATTACACAAGTGCAAGATTGGTAATTCTGCAAAGATATTTTGTCCATCTTTTTCCCTATAAGTAAAGTGGATTTGTCTTCTAATCAGCATAGGTAGGTGTTGAGACACCCTGTATTTAAAAAGGGAGATACCATCTCTTCAGTTACCTTCTTTATTTTACCCTCTTTATGCTCAGAGTTAAGTCTTAACATGCATACTATTTGCTGTTCTGTCAGTTTGAGTTACGTTGTGGCAGATACTAAATGGAGAGATAAGTTTACCCCTTCGATCCTTATGAATCTGGTTCTCTCTTTCTATAGCTGGTTCCAAGGCTGCTTCTCTCCACTGGACTGGTGAGAGGGTTGTCAGTGTTTTGCTCCTGGGCCTACTTCCAGCTGCTTATCTGAATCCTTCCTCTACGATGGACTACTCCCTGGCTGCAGTCCTCACTCTCCATGGTCACTGGCAAGTACAGCAGTGCCTTGAGTATTATTGTTTGTTCAGTTTGTATGCTGTGAGCTTGTTTTATTATTGCATATAAGGGAGAAGTTGGTTGAGATACTCAAGACATAGAAAACTTTAAAACACATGTGAAATGTTTCTGTACCCAGGTTTATATACCCACCTCTTCACTCTCATAGGCATTTTGAACGTAGCATGTTACAAAACTGATGTGCCCCATATCACTTCCTCCAGCACTCTTTCTCATCTGAAATAGTTTCCATTCTATTTGTTCATGCCCCAAACTTGGTCATTGTCTTTGATTCTAGTCCCTTAACTGGTCCCCCTTCTGTCTATTCTCAACACAGCTGCACAGCAATCACGTTAAAATAGTAAGTCAGGTCAAGATGGTCCCCTTCTCAAAACTGTTTGTTGTCTTCTAATCATACTCAGACTAAAAGGAGAATTCTTACAGCGGTCTAGACTTCGTGTGATCTGTTCCCCTGTTTCTTCATCTCCAACTACTATCTCATTCACACTGACTTCCTTGATAATTCTCGAACACACCAGGGACACCCCAGGCCTCAAGAATTTATTCTTATTGTTTCTTATGCCTGAAACTCCTTTTCTAGTTATGTACTTGGATTATTTCCTCATTTCCTTCAATCTTGAATGTTACCTTAGTGAAGCATTCTCTAAACTTACTGAAAATTTCAGTGTCCTTCACAACATTCCTTATCCCTCTCTCCTGTTATATTTTTTCAGTAGTATTTATTACATTCTAATATATCACCTATTTATTATTTTACATATTTCTTGTTTCTCCCCAGTAGAATAAAAGCACAGATACAGAAAATCACAAGAATCAAATCTATGGCTTAATGAATACTTACAAGGATAATACCACCTAGGTCAAGAAATAGAACTTCGCCTCCTAGTTCAAAAGTCTCTTCCTTGTGTTCTCTGTCATAACTGTCCACTGTCCCTCATCAGGAGCCATTATCCTGATTTTTATAGTACTCATTTCCTTACATTTCATCCTGCCCTTATGAACAATTGAATCTGAAGAATGGGGAGTACCTTTATTATATTGTTAGGATATAACAATATAATATTTTGGTTTATGACTTGTTGCTTTTTGAACCTGATTATCTTTTTGTAGCCAAGTTATCTGTATAATATGTCTTCTAACTTTATTTGTGATTTTTCACTTGTACTCTGATTTTTTTCCTTAGGGGCCTTGGACAAGTTGTTACTGACTACGTGCACGGGGATGCATTGCAGAAAGCTGCCAAGGCAGGCCTTTTAGCACTCTCAGCTTTTACCTTTGCTGGGCTTTGTTATTTCAACTATCATGATGTGGGCATCTGCAAAGCTGTTGCCATGCTGTGGAAGCTCTGACCTTTTTGACTTACTACCTTGAGAATTGATTGTACACCTCTTTGCCTCTGCTCTGTCATGCCATTCATCTCACAATAAGGAGGAAATAACAGATAAGTCCATTGGTGAGATAAACCTCTTCTCCTAATCACCCGATTAGTTTTGGAATTTAATCTATGAGGCAAAGGTTTGAGAGGAATTGTATCCAAGAAAATGTGAGACTGAATTCCATATCCTGGTGAGTTACTGAGGTTGTCTTCCAGCCTCCCACAAGATTCACAGTTTAACCGAACATTATGTATGAGCTTTTGCATTTTAATTTTTCAAACTCTTGAAGGGAATTCAGCTTTATTACTGTCAATACCTGATCAAACTTCTCTATTTGCCCTAGGAAATACGGAGAAAGGGAAAGCTATTAATTCATAAGTAAAGACTGCAGAAAGTTAGGCGGCACTTAATGTTTGGAAACTTCCCCTTTGGTTCAGTTGATACCAGTCACTGATGGTTATAACGTCTAGGAAATGCTGATATTTCACATTACTAACTTCTAAATTCTGGGAAAAAGAGCCTGGAGAGCTTTTGAATATAGAGAAATTCCATGTAGGGAAGAGGTCCCTTGTATCAAAATATTACAGATTCTAAACTGAGACTTAATCCTCAAATGTGTTCATTTTACTTGTCCTGAAATGTCCACAAATATAAGGCTTTAAGTAATAAATTGTTATTTTCCCACTGTGAGACTCTTTAATGTGAAATATATTCTCTGAAAATAAAAGTTTTTTAAAAATAAAATTCTATAAAATAAAAATGTATTCTACTTTGTTATGTATTAACTGTCCCCAGTTTTATTCAATAGAATTGAGTATCTATTGCATTTATAGCACTTAAACAGGATTGAGTGTTTACATTTCCTTATGGGATTTAGCAGTTAGGTAAACCAGACACAAAGTACAAAAAGACTTACATGTATTAGGCAGAAATATACTGAGTATAAATAGTTTGGTATGAAGAGAGGATTAGAAGGATTTAGAATTGGGTCCAGATTATAGTGTTTTATGAATGTCAGCCTTTGGAATTCAAATTATATTCTATATGCATAGCCTCTTCTGTAGGGTGAGTGTAAGGCATGATGGTTTGTTTCCCCCAGCAACACAGAGGAACTGGGACCTGTCACATTTCACTCCCTGAGGACCTTACTGGGCAGCTGAGGCAAAGTGTTGATGGGAAGCTGGCCAGAAGTGTGTGTTCATGAATGTCTGTACTGGTTAAAGATGAGCCCCCTTGACATGCTGCGGCCTTGTAGGAGATTCAGATGTGTATTAAGGGTTTAGGGAAGAGGTGATTAATTCTGTGGTGGGGTGGGTTAAAGATTTCAAAAGAGTTAGCCTGGAAGAGCAGTTGTTCACTAAGAAGTGGTGTTGCTGGGCCAGCTTTCCCTGGCAGGAAGGAGTATTTTATTACTGACATTGTTTAGACTCGCAGTTGTATGATGGCGATAAAAAGGAAACTGAACTTTTGCCAATTTTATTATTTTAAAATACTCTATGGACAGTGATGCCCCGTAGTGGTGTTCTTCCTCTCAGTCCAACCCCCAGTGCACCACTGCGGTAAAATGGAGTGACGATAGGGAGTTTTCCGTGTGGCCAAAATGGGAAAGGCTGTAACTGGGAAAAATGGGAAACCTGTAGCTGTCACCAGTACCATCAGATGCTAGTTTGGTTTTGGAAGGATACCTGAAGCTGATAAGCTTCATTAGATGGTGACTGGGAAATTAAAGTGGACGCTGGCCGAGTAGAGTCTGCCTCTCCTGGTTGGTTTTGTAATTAGGATAGAGCTGAGCTGTCACCCTGGTAAAACACTGGGCTGCTGTGAGCTGCTGGAACAGCTGGGAAAATGAGGCAGAGGCCAGCAGCAATAGGAGGCTCCCAAGGTTAAGCAGGACATGGTCAGCATTGTGTGTGCTTCAGAAAGAACTTAGGTGACATTAGGAAGGTTGATAAACTAGAGGCAGAAGGACCTGTAAGAGGATAAAGGAAGAAAGAATAAGATAAATAAGAAAGGAAGTAGTAGCCAGAATGAGGAAGAGAATAAATTTATGAGATACTTAGAACTTAGAATCAGTAAGAGTTATACTGGGGTGTGAAAGATCGAAAGAGGAGGGAAGGTGTGCTCAATTTTTTCTGTCATAAATAGGTGGATGGGAAGTAGTGCCATTAATTTTTGAAGGAAAAATTAGATATGGCAGTGGAGGGGTAGATCACTACCAAAGTTTCGTATTTGTGAGATATCCAGAAGAAGATAGAATTTATAGACTTATATTTTTGGCACTAAGACTTTCTAAGTCTTAATTTCTAAGTTTTAGAAACTATTTTGAACTCTGATAATGACAGTGGAAGATACGATTAAATTTCATAAAGTATTGTGGAAATCAAAAACATTCATTGATAGGTACTAAGTACCTCATGTAATTGGCATTGTGCCAGGTACTGTGGATGGTAAGAATTTCTCTGCCTTTAAAAGGAATTTGTAATCTAACTGGAACAGGTGAATGCAGTACAGTGACAAGTGCAGTAATAGTTAAGCACATCAAACAGCGATGTAACTAAGGATGCGGTAAGAATTTGCTTGCAAGTTTCCTGGAAGAGAAGAGTCTTGACCGGGGTTCCAAAAGGTAAGGAGTTGCCAAGTGGCCAAGGAAGCTGGGGAGAGGTACGAGGCTTATAGGAGGGTGCTAGATCAAGCAGAAGATGGCACATAAGTTTGTGTAACTGCAGTGTAAAGAAGGGCTAATTGTAGAGGACCTTACATGCCATGGTAAGTAATTGACACTATTTTGATAGCAATGAGGGGTTACTGGAGATTGATAATTATGCAAATGACATGGTCAGATGTTTATTTTAAATAGGCTATGCTGGTAGTTGTGTGAAGTATGGATTTGAAGGAGGTAAGCATGAAAACAGAAATTACTTCAGTGATCCAGAAAAGTGAATTCTGAGGGCAGTAGTAGCCAGAATGAAAAAGAATAAATTCATGAGATATTTAGAACTTAAAATCCATAAGAGTTATACTCGGGTGTGAAAGATCGAAAGAGGAGGGAAGGTGTGTTCAATTTTTTTTCTGTCATAAATAGGGTGGGAAGTAGTGCCTTTAATTTTTGAAGGAAAAATAAGTTACGGTAGTATAGGGAGAGGTCACTACCAAAGTTTTGTATTTGTGAGATATCCAGGAAGAGAGAGAATTTATAGACTGAATAGACTGACACATTTTTGGCACTGTGACAAACTAAATTTTAGAAATTATTTTGCTATGACACACCTAAGAATGTTTAACTATTAACACCTTTTAAAATATATGCTTGCACTTGCAAAGGGAAATTCGCTGAAGCCGGAACAGAGCGAGCATGCATTCAGGGAGTTAAGCGAATCCCGAGGGCATCGGTGGCCCTGGGAGCATTTACTGATCCCAGGCGGCCTACAGTTCTAGTTTTAAGGTGACACGGGCCAGGAGCAAAGCTTCAAGCTCGAATGAGAGATTGGAGACTCAACGAGCTTACCTTCAGAGAAAGGGAGAATTTGAAATAATTTTTTTCCTGAAAAAGTAGAGAGCAGAGAAACTTGTCTGCCTTACCTTGGTTCTGGTTGAAGGAAGGAAAGTCTCCTCTGAGAATATGTGGCTAAGGGCCAGCCTTCATGCCAGTTTGTGATCTGAGTTCATGCTATCTACATGTCTGTAAAGACTACAGGCTGCAAATTTAACATTTATCTACGTTGGTAGTGCCCTAGATGCCTAGTAGAAGTGAACGAATGCTCCTTGGAGGAAGGTTCCCCCAACACAAGCCTCAAAAATCCACACCAAGTTCTAATGAATGTGAGCTTCCCAGCAATAAATCACAACCACACAGGAACACTCTACACACTGAAGAAATCACAAATAAGCACAAGCACAGCCACAAAGAATTTAGACTGGCAGGATTTTCAGACACGAAATGTAAATAAAATTAGGTGAAAGTCTAAATATAACTCAGCTGTCAGATCAGGAATCAGAGGGTGTTTGGAGAAAGTGACCCTTGATGTCTTCTTTGGTTGGCAGGCTGATGCTCGATCCGCTGGGCCACACCAGCCAGGGCTTGATGTCTTCTTGATCCATAGGGTCCTGGGAGGTAGATGTCTACTCAGGAAAGTTGTGTTTCTCTGGAGTCCTTATGATGAATGTCAGGATCAGCTCTCATTGGGCCTGGATATCCAGGTTATTGGATCCTAAGCACCTTTACACTACATGGGGGCCTGGAGTTTAAGATTTATTTGAAGTTAGGAGTACCCGAAGTGGTTACTTCAATGTGGTTCTAAGGCTGACATTGGAGTCTCTTCTAATCTAGTCTCAATTGTATATCATACTGGTGATGGTGGGGGACAAAATATGTCTGATGATATGCCTTTTAGAAAGTAGCTGGTATGTTGGGCATAAGACTATATATGAGATTCATTTTTGGAAAAAAATGTAATAATTGCAACATATCAAGGATGGAGTCTGTTAGAGGATGAGCCAAACCCAGTGTCATGGGATATTTCTATAACAGTTTCATAGGAAAGTTTATGAAGATTTTTTTTAAATCCTTACTTGAGGATTTTTTAATCCTTGAGGCTATGCTCCATCGATTTTAGAGCAAGAGGAAGGGAGAGAGAGAGACACTGATGTGAGAAACATCGATCTGTTGCCCCCTGTATGCGCCCCGACCAGGGATCAAACCCCCAACCTATTGGTGTAGTGGACGACACTCCAGCTGACTGAACCACCCTGCCAGGATGAGTTTATAAAGATTTTTTTAAAGTGTATTTTATCGATTATGCTATTACAATTGTCCCATTTCTTTCTTCCCCTTTATCGCCCTCCACCCTGCACCTCCCCTCCCACCAGCATTTCCCCACCTTAGTTCATGGGTCGTACATATAACTACTTTGGCTTCTCCATTTCCTATACTGTTCTTAACATCTCCCTGTCTATTTCGTACCTACCAATTATGCTTCATGTACCTGCCAATTATGCTTCTTATTCTCTGTACATTTTCCCCCATTCTCCTCCCTCCCCCTCCCCTCTGATAACTCACCATGTGATCTTCATTTCTGTGATTCTGTTCTTGTTCTAGTCGTTTGCTTAGTTTTTTGTTTTTTTTAGATTCAGTTGTTGATAGTTGTGAGTTTGTTGTCGTTTTACTGTTCATGATTTTGATCTTCTTTTTCTAAAATAAGACCATTTAACGTTTCATATAATGAGGGTTTGGTGAGATTGAACTCCTTTAACTTGACCTTATCTGGGAAGCACTACGTGCCCTTCCATTCCTAATAGCTTTGCTGGATAGAGTAATCTTAGATGTAGGTCCTTGTCTTTCATGACTTTGAATACTTCTTGTCAGCCCCTTCTTGCCTGCAAGGTTTCTTTTGAGAAATCTGCTGAGAGTCATATGGGAACTCCTTTGTAGGAAACTGTCTCCTTTTCTCTTGCTGCTTTTAAGATTCTCTCCTTACCTTTAATATTGGATAATTTAATGATGATGTGTCTTTGTGTGTTCCTCCTTGGGTCCAATTTCTTTGGGACTCTCTGAGCTCCCTGGACTTCCTGGAAGTCTATTTCCTTTTGCCAGATTGGGGAAGTTTTCCTTCATTATTTTTTCAAATAAATTTTTGATTTCTTGCTCTCCCTCTTCTCTTTCTGGCACCCCTCTGATTCAGATGTTGGAACATTTAAAGTCCCAGAGGTTCCTCAGCCTCTCCTCATTTTTCTGAATTCTTGTTTCTTCATTCTGTTCTGGTT